ACTTGCACAGTATAATCAAGTCACCTCTCCATCTTTTTTTTCATAAACAAAACAGATTAAATTCTCAAAGGCTGCCACAGAAAGGCATTATCTGCAGTCCTTGAGCATTTTTTCCATCTCTTATCTGCATTCACTTCAGCTTTTCAACTTCAGCTTTTCAAAGGCTGACACCAGAACTACAGGCTGCATCCCAGTAGTGTAACGAGGGGCGGGTGAGCCCTGGACACCCACTTCGAAGGGGAACAAGAATGGCAGCCACTACCACAGCCGGCCCATCTGCCATCACTGCTGCAGATGGCCTGGCCTTGCTGCCACTGCTGTGCCAGCTGTGGTAGTTATGTCTCTACTGAAGTCACACACAGCTTTTCAAACCCTGCTCCAGGCTCTTCAGCCTGCAGTACCTGACTGTCATTCAGACACTTTATAGCACTTTACAACAAAAATGAATGAAATGTCACATGGCCTGTACGAAATACATAGCATTGTTAGCCTCATTGTACACCTGGGTAAACCAAACCACAGCTACTTAGATGACTTGTCTTGATCAATGAGGAATCAACAGACTCTATAACATGGCCTAGATATCCTGGCTCTTAGTCCCCTGTGCTAAACCCTAGGGACTATGGTTTCCCATCAAGCCTTTCCTGTCTCTGTTTAACACTGTAGTCATGCTGCTTTTTCCTTTGGTTCAGAGATGATCCGTTTTATGGCTTTTCAATGTTGACCAAACACTGCGCATTGAGCTTAGGTGACAAAGCTTTTCCCTCCTTTCATACAACTGGTGAAAGTTGGTTCAGAACTACATGAGGAATACCGCCTACATCCTTGGGAAAAATAGAGGCTCTGGGCTAAGCCCCACAGTCTGTGTTCCAGCTATAGTGTTGCAGTACCATTGAGGAACTGCAAGTCTGTCCCCCTTGAAAGATCCATGTATTCATTATTACCTGATAACACACAAAAAAGGAAGGGGGAACAAAATAGATGGCATAGTATGTTCCTGGCTGGGATTTCTTCCCCAAAGGTCAGATATTTGAAGGCATTCAAGGACAGATTTTTCAGTGGGCTCATATTATCTGGGGTCAGATTTTCAAACTCACAGAGGCCCCTTCCCAGTGCAATATTCTATATTTGAACATTATCTTAACATATTGCTACAATGACACCTATGCACAGGAAGTGCCAATTGGGTACGAAACACTACAAAATCAGAACAAAGGCACATTGCAATCACTAAGCACTGGTGTAAATCCTGTCAAACATATGACCTCCAGGCCAGATCTGGCCCACAGAAATGAGTCATCTGGCCCATGGGGCTTTTTGCAGGTTGGACCACCCATCTCTGAGGGCTGGATTTGGCTCACATGGCTCATCACTGTGGCTGCTGCAGCCTCTGCCATAGTGGCATGGCTCCTTGCTCTTACACCAGGGTTCTTGAACCCAGGGAGTTGACACCACATGCCCCCATCCTCTTTGTTCCCTGACCTGCCTTGGAAACGAGGTGCCCCTCGTGGGTAAAAGTGGCAGTGGCATTAACTGGTCCTGGAGCGAGACTGAATCAATGGCTCCAGCAGCCATGGGGATTACTAGTGCTGCTGCTGCTTGCTGGTCATTTGGCCCATGGGAAGCCCCGCAGCCTGCATCTGGCTTGTGATGAGCTTCATGGTCTGGATCCCACCCATGAGTTTGACCCCCTCCAGTGTAAACGAGTACACAAAGTGCAGGGATTCAGAGTATGTCTACACTGTGTATTGGGTGCTCTTGGAGAAAGAGGCCCTGCTACTATTTACACATGCTACACCCGGATGCTACACACCAGGTGCTCTCAAGCACACAGAGGCAGTGGTCTCTGGAGTAGACACAGAGGAATACCCCTGGGTAGGCTTCACTACTGAATTGCTGGTTTGGTGCACGCAAATGAGAGAGGGTAGGTGGGACATAGCTCAGCTTGCTTTTACTGGAGAGCACAGGGGACAGGGTGTAGAGCTGCGTGCAGAGAACCAGCTTCATTGACTTGAGCTGAGTTTCTCTTGAGTTATACCAGCGTAAAGGTGGGTAGAACCTGGCCCATTATTTATAGCACAGAACAGCTCAAGCCACGTTCTCCTCAATTTCTTCCAAATCTGAATTCCCTCAAAAACGATGAGTTGCTTCGATCTAACGTTTTGAGGGCCCTCATTCTGACTCTGTATTTTTTAACCTTTCTGCTGCTGCTCATTTTGAAGTAAAATAAAAATCACATGTTCTCCTGGAAGACTGAGCCAATATAACTGTTAAAAAAAATTGATGCATTCCAATAACTGGAATGCAATGGAGTTTATTTAAAATGGAGGTCAGTTAAGGGGCATATTTATTAAAGGAATATGTTTGGTGTGTATAAGAAGGTTAAACACAGTGCCAAAATAGGTCAAAATGATTGTGTTTAATAAATAAAATGATACAAACTGATTTGCCTCTCAGACGATGCCAGCTGAGTCAGTGATAACGCCATGGGGAAAAAAGGAAATCCAGGCCGAGGGTTACTTAAATGACAATAAAAAGCCCCAACTTTCTAAATAGAGAACAGGGTAACAACCCCTCAACTCCTCTGTAGCATGATTCATTGTAAAAGTATAATACACCATATGAGATCTTTAAACACCTATCTTTTGTCCTTTACACTTTGGCTAACACTTGGGTGCAACACTGGTTTACGCTGCACTATGCTTGCATATCACACAATGCATGGAGCTCAGTGAATGGGTTTTGCCTAATTTGAACTATGTGCGAATGCTTCAGGCCCCAAAGTTCAACTCAACCCGAACTTAAGAGAAACTTTGAACACATGCAAGTAGGGGATGGTGAGAAAAAGAAATCCAAGAAAGAATCCAAGACAGCAAAAAAAGGCTATTAAAATCTATAGATATTTTATATGCTAGTCATAGACCCGGCAAGGTTCTTTGAGTAGATATGATACTGTACCTTTTATTAGACCAACTGAGTAGTGTTGGTCTAATACACACAACGCACATCTGTCCCAGTCTTGGCTTTATTGCAAAACAGTAACAATTCTTAACTGGTCTATAATGCTTTGTATCATTCAAAACTCTTCGCAGATATACATTCTGGCTCAGACAACCTACCAGAAGTCAGGTCATTTCTAAACGCAGGTGTAAATTCGACCAGTTTATCCAAGCCTGTATCTCATGCGAGCTGTGATGTACAAACATGCTTGTAGGCTACCTTCCTTTACTACTCAGACTTAGTGCCTTGATTTGAAGAAGTCCCCAGTAGCCTAGGCTGTAACAACAGTGCCATCTATAGTGAAAAAGGAAGCACTGGTATTTCTGGATTTATTTCAGGGCTTCCTCTTTTCCCAGCCTGGCGGATGGACTCAGAGGGACTGGGACCAGCTGGCAGATGATCAGGAGAGGCTGATCTTTTGTGAGGAAGATGGGAAAAGAGACTGCCTGGGGAACCAGACAATCCCAACATACTTTCCAAGGGCCCAGGCTGGGATCTGCAGCACAGGTAGTTTAAGATAAACTAAAAAAAGTCTGTCCTTGTGCACTTTAAAATGTAAGCAATGAAAGCGTGTTAGGAGGTGAGTACATGGCAGGCTGTATTTGTGGGAGTCAATCTCTGAACACATAGAAACAGCTCCTAACTTTGTAAAAGGGGCTCTATCTTGTCCACCAAAGGATCTCCTTCCACCTTCAGATTCCTCTCTGAAGATAACTGATATCTTGCAGGAATCCCTCCCATCGTACTGTCTTCCATAGATTCATAGATTGTAAGGGGCTGGAAGGGACCCCACAAGATCATTGGGTCCAGCCCCCATGTGCCAAGCAGGAAAGACAACTGGAGTCAGGTGACTCCAGCAAGGTGACCGTCCAGTCTCCTCTTGAAGATTTCCAGGGTAGGTGATTGCACCACCTCTGGGGGGAGTTTATTCGAGTCTGGACACCCTGACCACGATGAAGGTTTTCCTAATGTTGAGCCTGAATCAATTTTCTAGATGTTTGTTACCGTTACTCCTGGTTTTCCCCCCGGGTGCCCTGGTGAACAGTTGCTCACCGAGCCCTTGATGTACTTCCCTAGTGTAGTGGTAAGCTGCTACCAGGTCCCCTCTCAGCCTTCTTTTCCTCAGGCTGAAGAGTCCCAGATCCCTCAGCCTTTCCTTGTATGGCTTGCCTTTTTAGACTCTGATCATACGGGTGGCTGTTCTTTGGACTCCCTCAAGTTTTTCCACATCCTTGTTGAAGTGCGGTGCCAAGAACTGGATGCAGTCCTCCAGTTGCAGTCTCCCCAGTGCTGAGTAGAGCAGAAGAATCACCTCCTTGGTTTTACTGGAGATGCATCGATTGATGCATGCCAGAGTCGAATTTGCCCTACTGGCTACAGCATTGCACTGCCAGCTCACAGAGCGATAAGCCGGCTCACTGCCAGCTTTGCTGATAATGCCATACCCAGTAACGAGCCATTGTCTTGCCTTTCCTAGTTTGGGATGTGCATCGTGTATTCCTTGTTTGTGAACTACTCAGCACAGCTCACAAAGACACTGTCATGGACCCAGAGGGAGACACCCTGCCATCTTCAGCTCCCTCTGTGCAAAAATGAAGTTTATTTCCTACCTATGGTGACTGTTTACCATCTTGTACCAGCTATACTTTCTCCCAGAGCCTGATGAAGGGCCTTTGATCCCGAAAGCTTGCAGGAAAGGACAATTTTCTTGCAATTTGCCAGTCGGTCTAATAAAAGGTATCATTCTGGAACCAACAGTTCTAGTTTTTTGTATGCCCTGTTGTTTGTGATGCATTCAGCAAGTTTATGAGGACACAAGTGAAGAACATGACTGGCAACAGGAGCCCAAACCTCTGAGCCTGCAACTTCACCACTTGTGGGAGGTGCCATAATAAACTGGGGGAGGAAGCAGATTCTTGGGATCACCCCATTATTTGGGGGAGGTTGGTATCTCCCGTTTCCTTGACACCCAAGAGACAACACAATAAGCTGTTCAGCTGGAAGTTAGCACTGGACCCCCACTCCCACCCCAGCTCCTCTTGCACATCAGTCTCAGTAGCTCCCGAGACTGCACAGGGACACGGGTGTAGCAGAGGCATGGTGGTAACGGGGAGCGGAGCTAGGTTTCCAAATCCTGGCAAGGGAGATAACATGGTGCAATCTGCGGGCAGCACATCACAAGAAGACGGGGAGGATGGTAAGGTTCAGAGATGGGTACAGCTTAGGGGGGCTTTTTCTTTCCTCTGCGGGCCATAACGAACATCACTACACCAGTGTAGTCCCAGCAGTGTTATTCTGTGGGCACGTCTACATGAGACAATTACTGTGCACTGGCGTAATAGCACTGCGTAGTAGCATGTCACGGCAAAAACCGTGCTAATAGCCTACTGCGCAGTGTTAGTAGGCTAATGCACAGTAAGTGTCACTAAATAACCATGTGCCAGGTACTGCTCAGAAACTTTAGATCCTGTGCGTTTAGTTAGTGCTTTATTAAGAAAGTGCTCAACTAAACGCGCAGTATTTAAGGCACGTTAATGAATGTGTCGATGTGCCCTGTGAGTAATTTGAATGGTGGTAGTTTCCAAAGATTCCCCCCCGGGTTGGGATCTTGTTGTACCAGACACCATACAGTGCAGGTAGGAAGACCTGACTCCCTGATGGAAACAGCTTTTAATTGATTTGAAGGAGAGGAATCTGGACCTCCGACCTCCTCTTTATCAGACCGGTATAATTTGCGGTTATGTTTCACAGAACAAAAATGTGATCACGGTGCAATGATGTCCTATCTCCGCAGGGTGGCATTCTCTCACTTCCTCACCAGCTTGGCAAGAGCAGGTTGCAATGGCAGAAATGGGATTTTGCTCCTCTGCTTCAGGGGAATTGAGGGGCTGTCTGTATTTGGAAAGTGCCTGGGATAAACCTTTAGCAATCAGGCCTGGCTTATAACAGCAATTAAGGGATGTGATTCTAGTTACAGTTACATATCTAGTTAAACTGGACATCAGGGGGCGAAAGTCTGTTGATACTGTTGAAAACACATACTCGAGGCTGCAGAAACGTTTTGGGGGTAATAGGCACTTTGGTGTGTGACGGGCAAAAGCTTCCAATGTCAATGTTGTAAATATTAGGAAAAATGCAGACTCTTATTTTGATTTGCTATGCACTCATCTGATCACAGGATGGGGAAATTCCTCCTGGCTAGTAAAGGGCGCCTGGAGGGGAGATCCCAGGGAGAGCAGGGCCCTGAGTTCATAGACTTCATTGGGGTTTGTGGAAGGCCCAAGGGCATTAGGGTTTTCTCCTCCCACCAGTCACTGGAGTGCATCCAAGGCCTTAGGGACAGCCTGGGCTTCAGGGACTTTTGAAGAGTCAAGTTTATTTTTGATGTTTATGCACCTTATATTTTGTAACACTGCATCTTATTATTTTGTGTATTTTTATAATTGTATATTGTAGTTGAATAGAGTGTAGAGTATGACTTTTAGCTGGGACCCCTTCCTTGATGCTTACCCATTTCAGATCAGGCAGGGGTCATAACTCAAAAAAGGAGTTATGACCAATCAGGTGTCTCTATTACAGGACCTCAAGGCATCAAATCTCTCCAGCATCCTGAACTCAGCAGCCAAACAACGAAATACTACAGACTTCATGGCCACCAGCATGCATCTCACCATATTGCAAGTCAAGACAGTCTTGACAGACCTTGCATCCACTCTGAAGACTCTTGTTGTTCCAAGTATGTGCAAAACTAAGAGTTGTTCCATCATTGCTGCTCCATTTCAGGGATTACCAGGAAATAGCTGACCTTCTCTCATTTTATTTTTTATATTAGCCATGGCCTTGAGCTTGACCTGGAGTTGAAGTCCAGGCCTTCCTCTTTATCCGCTCCTGGCTCTTCAGATGCTCCACTCCCCAACACTAACTCAGCAGCAACTGCTCTGCAGTGTAGTAGGTCTCCTGAGAAGATCACTTTGCTGGAATCTCCCACACGTGAGTAAACTGTAAAGAGCGCCAAGACGAAATACTTTACTTGCAGTGTTGAACAAACCTTGGCTCAAGACAAGTGTTTTAAGTTTAAAACACTTAGCCAAGTAAAACAAGAAGGAAGCTCCTAGCAATCTAACAATTACTTTAGCATTTTGAACACAGTAAATACAGACCTCTTCATCTTCCGTGCCCCAGTATCCACAAGGTTTTGTGCCAAATTCTGGATGCCTAAAGAAGGCATCTAGCAGATGACAAGGAGAGACAGGAAGTGAAAAAAAGATGAAGGGATGTAACACCTTGGCAGGGAGGATGGCTGGTCCATTATGTTTTCAAGATAGTGACTGTCTGGGCTCTGATATTTTTCCTTGAGGCTGGGGGACAGGCTTTTTTGTTTGGCATTGGTATAACCAGATGCAAAGCCAGGGAGTCTACAGCACTACGCGATGATAAGTGGCTGAAAATCAGCAGAAATAAGGGAGCATTGAAGAAAGGTCTGAAGCAGATCAGGGACACCTCTAAGAAAGTAGGGATGGTAAATGGAGGAAGCAGCATATATTATGAGATTGTCTACTATGCTAATTTAGACATTGGCAGAACTGCAATTCGGGTGGGAATGAGAGCTAGTACTGTTTCCCATTTGGTTCATTGTTATATAGCTTAGGAGGCCAAACTATACAACCATTTTACATTTATCTATATTCCAGTACTCAGATCTGTCCACTGTCTCGAACTGTGCATTTTTGCATAGAATCATAGTAATTCCTGTATGAGGTCAACTCAGAGGTCTGTCTAATCAGGTATCTTTGATTAGACAATGGCCAGTAGAAGATGCTTTATTCATCACCACTCCTTATGTGTTTGACTTTTGTTTCAGAAAACAAGACAAAACTGGCTTTAGAATGGACTTTTTATCCACGGTTTGGTCTTCATACATATCATATCGGGAAACGATGCGTCTTTAACGGCAGTTTCCTCCGAAACAAAACCTCTGCATCAGAAAGGACCTTGGAAATGTGTTTGGGGAGAAAAAAACATGGTAAATCCTAGAGTGTTTGCTAATTCTAAGACTTTTCTATGTAAAAGACTTTGGCAGCCTTCATATATTGAACTTGTTGCTTGAGAAAAAAGTCACAGGTTCATTATGTCTTGTGCAAGCATGGTAAAGGTTTGTGCAAGTGTGGTAAAGGGAAGGGCCTAAGTTCATATATATTATTCCTGGGGTATAGATCAGTATTACTACTGGGATTAAAATGATGGCAAAAATTAATGGTTTGTTCTGGTTACCATCTGGATCAAACTGCTGGTTTAAAACAGAATCATCAGTACTCAGTTCACTAGGACATGCAATACAATGTGTATGTAGACTGCTGTTTTAAAACCTGGATGGCTAAAATAGATCCTACATCCATATTTAGGCATTTAAATTAGTAGCTTGAGTTGTAGAGCAGCTAAGCATCCAGGAGTTGTGTGCACTCTTAATGTTTGCCAGGATAGTTTTCTAAATGCGGTGTAGGCGCCTAACCTAAGATGTCCAGATTAAGATTTTCGAAAGCAAAAAATGTTTTGACTGCTGGAAATGTTTGATCTGCAAAAGGCAGCTGTGTAGCATTGTCAGGGCGTGTGGGGGTGTGTGAGGGGGGAAATCAACACTCTTTAAGGTGTCTCAGAATTGGACATCCTTCATTTAAATAACAAGTCATGGTTTAACATCTTGGTCCATATCTTACACAGGGTAATCGTAACATCTACCTTCCCCTTCCTCCTATTCACTTCTTGATTCTTTAAGGAAAACGCTGTCTCATAACACAATCATACTGTACGTCCAATCCATTATCTGGATCAATTATTTGGATTGGCATCTTTGCAGTTATATTGGCATCTTTGCATATTGTGACATACGCCCAAACCCACGAGCCATTTCTTTTAACAGTCTCTTAACTCATCAGCAGTGCAGTCTAAGCCTCAAAGCTGAATATCAGGGCCTAGGGTTGAATCCCCCTTGCAATGTGTTCACAGCTCACCTGCGAGTATGAGGGTGTAATCACAGGAAATCTATCTCCAGCTCTTCTACATCCCACTTTATCTATTGCTCATAGTTAGAGCCAACTATTTATGGGCAGACAAGTAGTAAGTGTGATTGCTAGAAGGGATTATTTTGAGATTCCTGTTCTAGAAAGCCGGCAGCCCACTACTTGTTTCTGCTCTGCATTTCCTTCCTGCTGCTGAAGCATAGTGGAGAGGCCGTCACAAGGGTCAGGGGAATTGAGAACAAGCCTCCAACTCACTCCAGGATAAAGGTGTGAACATGCTCTTGGAGCACTAAAAGCCCCTCTAAGCTTTCTAAACCAGTTTGTACAGCATAAATACATTTTTACACTGTCTATTTTGTTCAAGTCAATAGTAGCAAGAGATGGAGTAACCTATCAAATGGCTGGGGAGCTCATTGCTCTTCACTGAGAGGGAATCTTATGCAAGGCTACAGAAAGACACTGTAGCTAATGTGTTTGTTGTTGTTATCAGTCCAGATATAGTGTCTTAGATTCAAGAGAAGTAAATGGTTTAAATCATGAATTAGTGATGCTTTATAGTTTGCATGATTAAATGTGACGATGTCATTTGACACGAATAATTAAGCATATATTTTTGAGCAATAGGGTAATTAACACTATAGACGACACGCCGTTGTGGAATCTAGATTTAGTGAGGGCAATAATGGAACATAGCAGAAATGCAATTGATAGTTTATCTTTAATTTAGTTCAGGCATTTCCAATTAATTGTTTTAAAAGAACCAGGATGTTCAGAAGTAATGGTTAATTGATATATCAAGAGCTGGGCTGGCTAAAGAGTGCCCCAAGAGTTTGGCCTATCTGCCTAACAGATAATGCAGAGTTTATGGCCTTCCCAGGAAATATATTTTGTAGCCATAATAGATAGACATTTTTTTTTAAACTCAGAAGTTCCTGAGGAACTAAAATCCTGAGCTTCTAACTTATTTTTTATGTAAGTCAAGCCTCTCTTATGCAAGTCCATGACAGTTTTGTCTGACTATGGACACCAAGGTTGGTCCTCAAAACAAGGGAGAATCAAAGCTGTCACAAGCCTCTGTGTCCTTTTTTGATTGCTATAACAAGGAGGTCCTTTCCATCCACAACCCTGAGGAACTTTGCATAACTATAGTAATGCTTTGTGCATGTATAACACCATGCATCCAGGAACCAGACAGTATGTTATAGCTATTGAAGTGTACCTGGGTGCCTGCAGTCTTGGCAAGCCTTAAAGGACTGCCAACCGAGGCAGAGATCTTTTGAGCCGGATCTTCAGCTAAGGAGAAGCACTATAACTCCTTTCATCAGTTATGCCAACTTATCCCAGCTGAAGAACTGGCTCACTAGGTCTCAACATTATTAAGACAGGGGCACAGCTTGGAACAGGACCAACTGCACTGAGCCATTGTATGCTGGTCTAACTCCATTGAAAGTCCTATTGAAGTCAGTGGCATCACACCAGCGTCACGCTGTACAGATGTAATGGTGAGTCAGACCACTATGGTACCAAGTCACAAATCTACTGTTCTAGCTACTGCAGGCTCTGCCTTCCTGCATAAAAATATGGTGGAGTATTACTTATATGAAGAGAACATCAACTATGATGACAAAGGGAAGATGTAAAAAAAAGCCAGTAAAATGTCTGTACAAGCAGCATAACCAAGGTTGTAACACTTCCATACTTGTTGCCTAAAATATGCAGCACCTGTCTCTTATCTGAGATTATTGGACCTTTAGAAAATAGAATAGCATGGACATGACATACCTCTTGCAGGTGGCTCCTCTACATTATACCCGAGGTGGTGATACAATGACGAAGCTTGTGCTGTCACTGTCCATCTCTCAGGGTTTCAACCCAGAATCTTTCTTGTGAAAGAAATCCTGCCCTTACATTATTGTAACAGGGCTCATGGGCGTGCCACCCCTCTGGGGTCTGGCCCCACCTCACCTCCAGTCTCTCGCTGCCATACCTTGGATGGTACGGTTTGGTTTATTGAGGAGGTGGCCCCTGGGGCTGGGAGCAGCTCCTCTGACTCCTTTGCCAGCCAGCTTGGTCCTTGCTTCTAGGTCTGTCTCACACCTGGGGGTTTCCACTTCCTTTGGGGTGCTTCCCTTTTAAGGGGCCACCCCCTTGGGCTTCCAGGCATCTGTTGGCCTTGCCCCCCCACAAGCATCCCGGTCTTGCCCCTCTTTTCTTTGTCCAAGCTCTCAGCCCTGGTCCACTGTCTGAGACCTCAGCTCCTGGACCTCAGCCCTGACTTGGCTGCAGCCCCTCTTGGGGCTCCAGTTTTGCTTTGCTAGCCTCAGTCTCCTCAGCTTTGGTCTAGCTCCCAAATTTATCCAGCATAACTTGCGTGTTAAGGAAATAATTTCTTTTTTTGTTATAACCCGGTCAGAAATTGACTGCAGAAATGGCATCCCCATGGCAACCCCTTGTGACAACTGCTACAAGTGTCCAGAACACAGTTTGGACTTTCACAGATTCGGATCAACGAGGCCAGTGGTGAATTTTGGATGGTATGTTCATAATCTGGATGCAATTTCTTAGTGTTAAATACATAATCATGTATTAAATGGTTATATGTAATATATTATTACTGAATACAGGAACCTGAAATGGAACAATATTTGATTTAAAAACCCTGGCCACCATATACTACATGGTGATGATGCATAATTAATGAAAAAGCCCAGAAACGTTTTCAGGGAGTGGAGGCACCAGACCAGTGGTGTCAAACATATAGCCCTCAGGCCGGATCTGAAATCGGAGGGTTCCAATTTGGTTCAGAGAGATTAAAGGGTCTTCTGATTCGATTCGGATTCAGAGATTTGGCCATTGAATCGGGCCAAGTCCCCGGCGAATCGAATCAGCAACCGATGCTTTGTACAGCCCTAATTACAGCCAAAGATGCTGTGACAGAGACGTGGTAACAAAAAATGTCAGAGTTAAGGAAGAATTGGAGAAAGGGTATTAAGAGCCAGGTTATATAGGTAGTGGTGAAGAAGGACTGTTTTCTCCAGATCGAAGGCACATGTCTGCAGTGCAGTGCTAAGCTTGAAACAAGGTCCAAGGTGTATGGACAAAATAAGCAGGATGGCTTTCATGGAGACTTCAGCCCTGATTCAACAAGGGATTTAAGCACCTATTATAACTTTAAGCCTCTGAAAAATCCCATTGAAATCAGTGGTGCTCGCTGAGTATTTAAAAGTGCCCAGGTGCTTATGTGCTTTGGGTGAAAGAGAGAACCTCCAAATCCAAGATGAAATACAGAGTGAAAATTGCTTGTTGTAGAGTGTGGACAACACACCCCAATAGACCAATAACAGTGAGGAATATGCTATCTGGAAAAGACATATGGATTTGGTTATTAATGTGTGAATTGAAGCGGTTGATAGAATTCTATAATAGAGTACACTTGGAATTCAGTATTTTTAATGAATATTAACACACACACTTTACTGAAAGGGAGCCAAATATTGACATGCCTCTATAGAAAGATTTAGCAGCTTTATGACTCTTTCTTCTTCTTTTTCTCTCTTTTTCTCTCTTCCTTTTTTTTTACAGTGAAAAGTATAAAAAGAGAGTAGATACATTTATCCCTCTTCAGCATTTGCCACAGATTCCTTGGTAAGTATCTGCATTGAAGCACAGGCAACAGCTATGAATACATGGGGCTGGATTCTGACCATTCTTGCCCTTGGAAAAGTCATGGAGTAATTCAGTCAGAATCAATGGATTTAAGTGGTGTAAATAAGGTCTTGTGTCTGGAGAAGTCCAACTGGGTTTCATAAGAATGAGCAGATAGGGTGTGTATGGATACACTGAGCCCCTGCAAACATCCTCTAACTCAGGAAGTGTAGCAGGGAATCTCTTCTTTCTACAGAACATTTTAACCCCTTGAGAATTTTTAAGGTCGTCCCTCTGGAGTAAATGCTGTGTTATATTTGTCTGCTACGTTTTGCCTAAGGAGTAAATTGAGAATACTCTGGGGTAAACATATGCTGCACCTACACCCTTAGTTATGTACAAAAAGAACCATGATTCTTTGCTCCTATCATGTACCGTATTTACAGTAGTGCTCCTTAACTGGGATTTGAAATTCATGCCTCCTCAGCTCTGTCAGACTGGTTATTGTCTTGTGGAGTTAGTCTGTAAACATTTTAAGGTGAGCACAGTTCCTTAGGATAGGTGTGCACAGTTCATGGCACAATAGCTCCATGCTAGGGCTCTAAAAAGAGCTAATTTTTTTACTCAAATATCTGAATGGGTGGGTTTAATATAGGGAATACAATGACAGGTGTCACCATTGTCTGATGCTGCCTGGGCAAGCTATTATTCAGGAAAAGCAGTGTCACCACTGTATCATAAGAATATTGTTTGTCTTTAATAATATTGACAGATGAAAAAAAGAAAAAGCGGGGGGTACACTCCCTGAGTCCAGGTGGGACTTGTGTTTCTGCCCTTCTATTAATGTGTCTCCTGACTTAGGTTGTTGGCAAAATAAATGATAAGTTACTGTCTTTGGCAGTAACTAATTACTGTGCAGTAAATTTAAGCCACATAAATGCACATGTAGACATGCCCTGTGTGTCTCCTTAGCTTTACTACTACACGAGTAGCAGTATAGCTGCAATGTTGCTATTGTAGCTATACTGCAGTAGTATAGCTGCAATCTCCATAGCATGAATGCTGCAGTCTCCATAGCATGAATGCAGTGATATTGGTACGAATGGCTGTTTCTAGAAGCTGATGGGAGATAAGCAGGGGAGCTGGAGAAGGCATGTGCATGTGCACACATGAATGCCTGCCAGTCTGTAGCTTAACACATTCGGGACAAAACATGAATAAAAACAATTCATTAGCAACCTTGTAGCCATCCTGAGCAGAGAAATCCAGCTCTAATATCCCCTGGATTTTGAATGACTATGGAAGTCCCTTGAGTTCGTCAAGCCACGTATGCTGCTGCCTCTGCTGAATCTGGGTAAAAATGGGACCTTCATTCCCTAAGTTTATCAAGCTGGTGCCTTTCATGATCACTAAATTCAAATAGTATTAAAAAATCAAATAAATATTAAAATGTTTGGGCAAAGAGTTTTACTTTTAGGACCAGATTGCAGTTAAAGCTAAACGTTATTGTCAGCTGTCTGCTCTCAGGACTTCATTCTGGATGACACTGCCAAGAGCAGCTCTGTTTTCTCCTTTTTGAGCTTTTTTTTGGTGTTCGATACATTTTAAGAACCCCACAGAAGCTGCAAAGATGCTGATAGTTCTCCTTGCATGTAATGATTTGTAAATACTTTAATTCATTGGTCATAAAACACATCTTCCCACATTTGCAAATTACCCATTGTGAAAAAAAACTGCTGTTGCTCTATAAACTTCATGAAAATGATACATGCATGCCAACAAAATCATGTGCACAAGTTTTCTAGTGCATGACTCTTGTTATGGGCAAAAGTTCAAGGGTAGGCATCTATGGGTGCGTCCACACATGCAAGCATGTGCGCTTGCAGCAGCTCAAATAGAGGTGGTGCAAATTTGAGCTGGGGCTATTTGCTTCAGTGCACATGCTCAGACATGCACTTCAGTGTGGGGCAGATTGTACCACTTGGGGCAAAATAACCCTTCCTGGCTCCTGGATCTGCTGCCAGGGGGAGCTAGAGGCAGGGGCCAGCACCTGGCCCCAGCAGTATAAAAAGCTGGCCTGTCAAGTAGCTTAGGGCTACTAGCTCTCAGGAGCTTCTGGGGCCCAGCCAGTTGGTACCTGGGGACACTACCCCTTGTGCCAGCTGGACTGCTGAAGCAGCCCTGAGAGTTCCCTGCATCCTCTACCCACTGCAGCAGTCTGGCAGTGGAGGCTGCTGCCTGGCTGTGACCTGCTGCCACCTGCCAGATCCAGATGGGGACTGCACAGTTAGTAAAGGCCCCTCTGGACCAGCTGACAGTGGGCTGTGGTTGCAGGGTTGGCCTCTTTGCAGCACTAGTGCCACATGTGCCCCCTGCCCAGCCATCTGGGCAGCTATCGCCCAGAAGATGTTCCGGGTGTGGTGGCCTGCTTTGAACTGTCAAAGCATGTCCTCCTGGCCCCATGCCAGGAGGTCAGCCACAGACAGCTGGGTCCAAGGTGCTAGCTCTGAGCAGGCAGGGTCCTGCCACTGGCCTCCCTAGCAGGAATTCTGGTGTTCCCTATTGGAAAACTGAAAAATCCCTGATAAAAAAATCCCAAAGTCACTCTGTAAAATACCCCCAAATCCATGTTCCTCCACAAGTAAAACAGAAGACCACTATAAAGAGAGAGACAGAGACAGTGATCAGCTGGACAATGTTTTATTGCTATATCTACAGTGTTAAAGCAAGTCTCTTATCATAATAATAAAGTGAACTCTAAATACGTGTTTCAAGAATTCATGAAAACATATTTTGCTGCAATGGCCCCCACACAGGGGTTACAACTCCCCATCAGAGGATTTGGCCCCCACACAAGGAGTAATGCCACCCCAAACAAGGGATTTGGCCCCCACACAAGGGGTTCAGCCCCCCCAACAGGGGATTCAACCCCCACACAAGGGCTACGGCCCCCCAACAGGGGATTCAGCCCCCCAACAGGGGATTTGGCACCCACACAAAGGGTTCAGCCCCCCAACAAGGGCTTTGGCCCCCACACAAGGGGTTCAGCCCCCCAACAAGGGGTTCAGCCCCCCAACAAGGGATTTGGCCCCCAGACAAGGGGTATGGCCCCCCAACAGGGGCCAAGTGCCCCCCACAGGGATATTAGCCCCCCTGCAAGGCCCACATGCCCCACTCCAGCCCCCCATTTACTGTCCCACCTGGCCCCATCCCCCACCAGCTGCTGCAGACCCCTCAATGACTGCCCCACCCAGCCTCACCCCCCAGTTTGCATCCTCAGGCCCCCAAGGATACCTCCACCACCCCAGGCACTGTCAGTTAAAAAACCTCCAGGAAAAAAACAGAAAAAGAATGGGGAAAAAAAGCCTCTGCTTACCCAAGAAGCAGGGGTGGGGGGGCTCTGGGGCCTCCTGGCAGAGCCCCCCCCGGCAGCACAGGGCAGTGGGGGGGGCAGCAGGGCCGGGGCTGGGGCCGCTGGGGCTGTCACCCTGTCCCGCACTGTGCGGGCAGGGTCCCAGGCACTGGAGCTCTGGTGCTGAAACATGTGGCTTGGCCAGCCACGTGTTTCAGCACCAGGGCAAGGGCCAACTATAGAGATGCTCTGGCAGCCAGAGTGTCTCCATGGAGGATCCAGCCTCTGGTTGCTCCGCTTTTTTAAACTTCAATTTTTTTTAGACCCCTGGATATCCAGGGGTCTCATTTTCTCCCCATGCTGAAAACTTGCAGCGCGGGAAACATTTTTTTCATTCCCACATGTGCCTGTTGCCCCGTCTCAAAGGGGTTTGAGGCAGGGCAAGAGGCACGTGCATGCTTTTCTGGATGCACCCTATGTGTCTTTCAGTTGCGTTGCTTTCCCTATTTTTACTTTGCCCAGTCCCAAACCAGAAGGAAACTGCTTGGAAAGGAGTCCTTTTTTTCTGGTTAAATAAATACCCCTCTGTTTTGACATCACCTCGTCAATTTTTAATAATTGATGAAGCAGGTTTCTTAGAGATCTTGTTTACATAGGAGCTTCTAAGATGCTCCAGGCTACATCGTCAGGTGTAGAACAACATAAATCCACTGAAGTCAATTGAAATGTATTTTCACTGGACCTGAATGTCTGCCCCTTGGGGATGAGAAGTTTCCAAAGTTATATGGCAATATCTGAGATACTAGAGGTACCTAATACTAGAGGTACCTGATTCGAGCTAGTGGTACTGAGGCTGGTTAAGGATGTATGACACTTCCTATTATAAAGAACTTATTTTTATAATTTATAACTTTATCATTTGTTTCCTTAACAATGTGGGTTAAAATGATCCATTTCACCTGTCGGCTGGCATAATTTGATTGATCTTAATTCAAAAAGAGTAACAAATTAAACCAATAGAGCTGTGTCACTTCACAGCAGCTGGGGATCTGGTTTGTCAGGCAAACATCTTTGGATAGATGTGATATCTTTTATTAAGACCAACTGAGTAGTTGGAAAAAAGTTCTTACAAAGTTTTTGGGCACAGTCATCCTTCTACAGGCAGAGGGATTGGGGAGTCTCTGGCGTTTGTCACTTACTGATGTGCTTTGAGATACATGGGAGAAAATGTGTTAAATTCCTATTTTTCCTTTTGAAATATCAAATCATGAATAACTTTCAACAGATAATAGACCTCATATTTTTTTAGAAGCCATCTTAGTAAAAGGAACGCTTTAGTTGGATCTTTTACACAGATCTGTATTTGGAGAGGTTAAAATGTTCCAACTTTGTTAGATGGAGCAATCTGGATAGTCATGCCACTTGTACAAAGAGACCTTGCTATTGCCTCACTTGCTTTTTTCCTGTCCTCAGTGTTCCCTATCATGTAAAGGAGAAACAGAAGGAATTAGCAAGGGAAAGGAATGAGGTGAAAAATCTAGACAGATGGAAACCTGCTCCACCACTATGTCAGACCTTGCTTATTCCTTCACCGCTACGAAGAATAAAAACATCATGAACTGCAATGGGAAGGTCTTTCTGAAGAATAATTTTGTCAGCTACAGATAATAAAAAGAAGAGCTTTAATATCCCACTGTGAATACCATTGGATGTGGTTTCTTACTTCAGTGGCTCATGTATCCTGATGTGGCAATTACTGTAGATATCCAGTTTTCATTTACTGGTTTCTTGTTGAGTTCTGGATTGTCACTTGTTCACTATTACCCTGAAGAAAAGCTCCAACCTATTTTCTTGTACTAGTTGTTCAAAACTAGATGAGATACTGAATAGGGATGGACTGAGAATGTAGTGCACCCCTATTTATAATACAAAAGTACAGAGATTTTTTGTTTGTTTCATGCTGTTACTTCCCCAAACAGATTATTTCTATGCCACAAATCTGTTCCTCTGGAGTAACTGCTAGAATTCAAAACTTCTTCCTAGGGTTACAGTAGAGTCTCTGGTATATACTCTAACTTTATTCTATGGAGCCCTCTACCAAGGCATCTCAGAGAGATTTGAACCTGAATTGATTTTCACAGCATTGCATTTAAGTGGGTGAGCATTAGCTCACATTTATCTCTTGAAGCCCATCTCACACCTGATTCGAAAACCATACACTAGTGCTAATATAATGTCCCTGTTCCAAAGAGTTTCTTATCTAAATAAGACAAGACATGGACATGAACATAGACAAGTGGAGGAGAAAAGAGAAGGAAGACCAGAGGAGCAATGACAAGAGCACATGGTTACTTTCACCACTGTGTGACAACTAGCGAGTTGCAAGTCAGTAACAGTTAAATCGTTCAAGTTTTTAAATGATTCAGAGAAAACAACAGTACCATTTTTTTTGGTATTATTTAATACTTTGCTCAGCTGTTTTTGTGCAATGTAGCTACAGTGCATGCCACCATTACAGCTTGACCTAAGATTGCTTACAGAGAAGCGCTGTAACTGCAGGGCTGATTTTGTGCTTGCTTCTTTCCCATTCAAAGAGCTTTAGCTGTTTTCTAAGTGCACCATAGAGACACTTTGCCGGTAAGAATGCTTTTTAACTTCTCTGTTGATGCATAATAGAAAGAAACAATTTTTAAAGGAACCACTGTACTGTGAAAACAATAGCACCGTGAAATACGTAATGGACAATATTCTCTTGGCTGCTTGCTTCAGTTTTGTTCCTTTTTTCTTAGCCGACGATTATTTCACCAGCTTTCCGCTTTTCATTCTGTATGTCCCTGGGTGCTTTAGAGGACATGGTCTAACATCAAGGAAGTCTACTGCTTCTTTAGGGACTTGGGGAGATGTGGTGGAAACAGCTTTGGTATCGCAGAGCCATCTCACACTTGGAACTCTTAGCTGGCCAGGGATTTTGGGGTTCCTCAAGGTTAGGGTGCCTGTTTCTGAGAGACCAAGTGGAAGTCACCGAAAATCAGTGCTCAGTCCTGAAAACTGTCATCGGTAGTTAAAATGTCTGTGGTAACTGGCCATTCATAACATTAGCTATTCATTTCAGTGGAGCAGAACAGGGATTAGCTATGATGGCACATCATTTTCCCTGGGGCACCCACTCTGTAGTGGCTCTGTTTTAATAGGAAGATAGGGGGAAAGGGGGAGAAAGGGATAATTAGTAGCAGTGTTTTCCTCTATGTTTCTGGAGCCATACCAAAGCAGTGGTTCCAGCAGAAACCACACTGAGAAGCTGGTGAACTCAGAGAGCTCACTGCACATGTGCAGTCCAGTTGAAGGGGAGTACAATCGCACCCCTTAGATCTGACCCTGGACCTTGACCTTAGTACTTGTGATCATCATTTGGAAAACCCATATCTACCTTTATATTTATCCAGTGAAATATTCTGGCCTATTGAAATCAATGGGGGTCTTGACCCTAAAGGAGAACTTTACTCTGTGAAGTAGTAACATTAAGATTAATGGTGCAATAAGGTGATACTGGGTGTGTCTACATGAGTCATTATGGTGCAGTAGCAATGAGATACTGTACTGTAGCTCACTGCTATGGTGCAGAAGCATCGGGAAAATATGTGCAGTGATGGTACTGTGCGGTAATGCCAGCACTGCGCAATAATGCTTATGAGAGT